CTAAAAATGTGACTCTCTGGGTTTTGATTCAAATTCTGTGGTGAATTTTATTATGTGTCTTTTGGATACTCTGAACTTCAATTTCCTCTGCTAAAAAATTGAGAAAATACTTCTTTACTCCAAGGGTCAATTTTTATGGTTAAATGAAATAATATACATAAAAGCAGCTGGCACTAAGTAGAACTGAGTAAGACAAATTCTCATTGTCAGAAAAAAATATGAGTTCTCCGGCATCATTTTACATTTGTAAAGCAAGCATTCATAAGCACATTGTCCCAATTCACCAAGATGGACATCAGCTAGAAATACTAATTGCTCCACAGATAAATCTGATAAGCATACAGGATGTAATGACACATCTTTTTCCCAATTACTGAGACTGGGACCTAACCAGCAACTAAACATTTATATATATACATATATATATGCTAAATGAACTTTTAAGACTCACTATCATAGAGCTGACAGTTGGTATCTGTCCAGCCACAGTCCCTTTCATGGAAATGGCCTTGCTTATTTCTCCTTATGTGTAGGTTATCATATTTGTGTACCATCTTTCTCCAAATCGTTAAGGAAGTCAGTGCCTGACTAGGAATAAAAATAACCCTCAATTCTAAGTTTACATGTATCTAATATTATTTCAGAATACATAAAGCAAAAGCTGGAAGTAAGAGTAGACAAATTCAGTCATAATGGGAGATTAGAACACATCTCTTAGAAACTGACAGATCAAAATTAAGCCAGAAACATAGAAGAGAAAGGTAATTTTAAAAGTCTGTATTTTAGGAAATTAAGAAATACACTTCTAAGTAACTAAGGCATCAAAAGAGAAATCATAGTGAAAACATTTTGAAATGATAAAAATTTTAAAGGTATCATTCATGATCACTGAAAAACATCAAATATCTAGGAACTAACCTAATAAAAGTATATGACTTCCTTGTACAGAAAACCATGAAGTATTATTGAGAAAAAGAATACATATTTAATATGGGGAGAAATATGTAATAGTCATAGGTTGTAAGACTCAATGAAATCCTACAGGTTCTGTAGGTGTACATGTGTATCTTGATGAGTTGAAATTAAATATGTATGGGAATGCACAAATCAAGAAGGCATAGTGAAACTACTTTACCAGATTTAAAAATTCCTATAAAATTTAATGTTACTATAACACTATCTATAATAAATATAAAATTTAAGATTAATTCATTAATTTAAAAAGTGTGGTATTAGAGCTAGGATAAGCCAACAAACCAGAGAAAGAGGCTGAAGAGCCCAGAAATAATACTACACACATAAAAACCCTTGATTCATGACAAAGGAAGTACTGGAAAATATTGGGGAAATGGTCTCTTCAATAACTATTGCTTAGACAAATGTATACCCATATTGAGAAGAAAATGTCATTCCCCATGTCATACAATATTATAAAAATAAGTTACAATTGCATTGTACACCTAAACATGAATGAAAAACAAGAAACCATTTAGTAGATGATATTACAGGAGAATGGCCTCATGACTTTGGGCATAGAACTAAAAAGTACTGACCTCAAAGAAAAAGACTTATAATTTTGACTATAAATTAAGACTCTCTGTCAATTAAAAGGCATCATGAAGTTAGTGATAAAACATGTTACAAAATGGAAGAAGGTAATTGTGTATAACTGATAAAGAATTCATATTTTGTGTATCTCGAAAATACCTACACATTAATCAAACAGACACATACATAAGGCAGTATAAAAATGAGAAGCACTTTAGAAAAGATATCCAATGACCAATACACCTATGAAAAGGTGTTTGACCTCATTAACAGTCAGGAAAAAGCAAATTACAAACATGGAATCTCAATACACCTACCAGAATGGTTGAAATTAAAGACTAACAGTACCAAGTGTTGGCAAGGATGTGGAACAAGCACATAAATTCTCCTGCACTGCTTGGGTGTGGGAGGGGTACAAACTGGTACAACTACTCTGGAAAATAGTTTGGCTTAGATACTAAGGTTGGAAATATACATACCAATTCCACTCCTAGAGGATTCATGTACATGAGCACCAGGAAACATACACAGACTGTTCACTACAGCATTGCCAGCAACAGACCATAGCAGAAATAATCCAAAAAGCCATCAATTGTATTCTGGGTAAATAAATTGGTGCATATTCACATGACAAAAACTACACAGAAATGAAAGTGAACTGATTTGAGCTAAGTGAAACAAAATGAACGTCACAAACATGATGGGGGGCCTAAAGAGCCAAAACGCAAAGGAATACATACTCCATGATTTATTCTGCATAAAGTTCAAAAGCAGGCAAAAATGAACTATGGTGTTCAAAGATGCATACTTAATTCATAAAAACAAAGAAAGCAAGAAATGATTTCCAAAGAGTCAGGATAGTGGCTATCTTTTGGGAGGAAGGAATGACTAGAAAAGTGTAAGCAGGAGGTTCCTAGAGTCCTGAAAATGTTCTATTTTTTTTTTATCTGGTTATGGTTACATGGGCTTTCAATAATCATTCACTAAGCTGTGTGCTTTTCCATATTTGTGTTATACAAAATTAGATATTAAAAATGCATCCTCAGAATGGGAGAACATTTTTGTCAAATATACCTCAGACAAGGGACTGATAACCAAAATACACAGGGAACCAAGTGCCTTACATGAAAAAAAAAATGATTAACCCAATTAAAAGGTGGGAAAATGAGCTGAACAAAAATCTCTTTAAGGAAGACATATGAACAACCAAAAAGCATATGAGGAAAGCTCAACATCCCTCATCATAAGGGAGATGCAGATAAAAACCACAATGAGATACCACCTAACCCCTGTCAGAATGGCAAAGATTAAAAATATAAAAAGTGATTAAGTGTTGGCAGGGATGTGGTGAAAAGGGAACCCTCCTACACTGTTGGTGGGAATGTAAACTGGTTCAGCCACTGTGGAGAACAATATGGAGGTTCCTTAAAGATCTACAAATAGAACTACCATTTGATCCAGCAATCCCACTTCTGGGGGTATCTACCCAAAGGACAGGAGAATGCTCAATTGGAAAAGTGCTTGCACATCAATGTTTATTGCAGCATTATTCATAATCGCCAAGACATGGAACCAACCCAAAAGCCCACAAACAGATGAATGGATTGAAAAAGTGTGGCACATATACCCTATGGAATACTACTCAGCCATAAAAAACAAGACCCTGGAATTTGATAGAAAGTGGGCGAATATGGATGATCTATTGCTGAGTGAAATAAGCCAAGATGTGAAAGAAAGATATTGTATGTATCCACTTAATGTATACTGACTATCTGCACTCTATGGTAGAGATTGAAATATTGGAGGACATAAAAGCAGTGAAAATAGTTAATGATGATAAGACAATGTAGAATGGGGCGGGAGAACAGAAGAGTATACAGTAAGATAGCAAGAGAACAAAGAGAGGCCTGACATTAGTAGGACACAGATATGGGGTTTTTTTTGGAGAGGTCTTTTTTTTTTTTTTTTTTTTGTTATAGGGTGC